GCCACAATCCTTTCTCCTCGATTGTTCTCTTGGGATTTTGGGCACACACGCACATGTGCCCACATGATCTTCAAGCCAAATGAGCTCTTTTATAAATAATATTGAGTATATTAACACAAGAGGTGATAAGCTTTCAGAGTACAATTTTATTTCGGCCTCTGCCACTAGACATTTTATCACATTATTTTTGCAGAACTGAGGCTTGATCATTGATTGTATAGTCAAAAAATGACTTGGTTCTGGTTAAGAGTACTTAAAACATTTTGTATAAGTCAATCCTCTTTTTTTAGCTGATCGAGACAATTTTATACTGCAGAATAGGTATTCTTTCAATTAACTATTTGGGTCAGGTGAATGATAAACGAATAATTATTAAAGTGAGTTGAAATCTTTTTTATAGTTGGAGTCCTATTAGAGCCCTGAAAAGACCTCAGATCAACCTCTAAGTATTATTTATAATTTCTCTCTTTTTTAAATTTTCAAAATATTACTATAGATCTGAGTAGCAAACTTTATGCAGCTTCCTCCAAAGTTTGATCAGTCCAGTTGTATTTTAGTTTTCTCTGTTTGTTTGCTATAGGACTCATGTACCTTCGGGGATGGGGGTTGGGGGGAAGAGAGAGAGAGAGAAAAAGTTTGAAAGCACCCTCCAGGGGGGATGGCCTTGCCACAATCCTTTCTCCTCGATTGTTCTCTTGGGATTTTGGGCACACACGCACATGTGCCCACATGATCTTCAAGCCACTGGGTCCAAGACTCAAACCACACAGCTGGACATGTGGCCTTATCCTCTATGTCACCTGCTGGCCCTAGGTTTTTTTTTTAATTTATTATTTTTTTTAAGTTTATTCAGTAATTTTTTTTCTGTGAGCAAAAGAGACAGAGAGGGAGACAGAAGTAGAGAAATAGCGTCCCTAAGAGGGTTGATGCTGCAGTTTACCTCCAACTTCAGCTATTTATGGATCCCAGGAAATGATACCTTTTACAGAACCTTTTCATGTGGGTCTGCCTTGCAGAGCATTGTATTTTACCTCGCATCTCCATCTGGTCTCCTGTCTTTTATTTTTAATGTTTTACAGTAATACCATGTTAGCCAGGATGTGAAGGCATTTTCAAAAACCGTATAGGAATTACATTTCTATGGCCCCTTTTGAGACAGATAGTCTTACTGGACATTGATTTGTTTACTCTTAAAAAATAGAGCCTGAGATAAGAGACAAAGCTAATGTGTAATAATGTATGAGCTGAGAGTCACTTGTATTTAAAAACAAATAAAATAGGACTGAATTTTATATTTAAATAAGTGAATTATACGATGTGTGTCTAATGCCTCAGTGAAAGTCACTTATCTTACACAAATATGCTTATCGAGCTTGGCGCTAACATTGAAGATGAATTTCTGCAAAGGCTCCAAGCACCTCAGTAACACCACTTCTTTGAGTTATGTTAAACCAGTTGGGACATGATGAAAGAATGCAAGGTATAAACCCCTTGAGGGACTGTGAGTCACCATCTAGAAAGGTTCTTGAAAGGGTAAGAACATTTTATAGTTTGATCAGTAGGATCTGAGAAGTAGGCTACAGGGTAAAGAAAAACTGAGGATTAAAAACTTTTTGGAAACTTAAAGAACTGAGTGTTCCCAAGAAAAAAAGAGACAAAAAGAGAGTCTTTTCATCAGATCTCAAAGAGCAACCTTCCTCCTGGGTCAGAATTCAGCCAAAGTAGAGTTGGTGTTAATCAGTCCTTATTATTTTAGCCCTTTTGCAGAATTTGGCACTCAGTGAGTTTTCTAGAACCCCAAGTGCCTATTCTAGAGGTGTTGGATATCAACCAATAGGAAGTAAAGGATGGGGTTGCAGACTTCAAAATTGGAGCAACTTTTCCATAGAGTACTTCATAGAAAGAGGGTCTTCTTCCACTTTTTTCCAGCCAGCATGAATCTTTCCTTTGAAAATGTATGAAACAGTGTTGTGGATGGGGTTCCTCTCTCTCATTATTGATATTTCAGTGTAAGTTAGCAAACACTGACAGGATCGTGAGAATTTAGATTTTGTTTGTAAAAGGGACAATCAGTGTAACAGTATGGCCATAGCCCAAGTATGGAAATATAAGTAAAAGAGTCTGGCTAAGAATGTCCTAACTCAGAATAGATTTGAAGAATTAATCTACTCCTTTGGCTTTTGTCCTATCCTTAGAAAGTTCACAGAACCCTACCTTAAGACATAGTTCAATAAAATTTAGACTTTTAAGAATTACTTATGTTCCCAGGCAGAGGATATCAGAGTGCTAACTGCTTTTTACCAAGTCCATGGAAGTAACTGGCCTCTGTCCTAGGGTAGATGTATTGACACTAAAGAAGCAATCAAGGCAAAGAAAGAAAAAGAGGAGACCTTAAAGACTCATGCCTTGTTGCATGAGTTGGAGTCGTAACTAGCACAGAGTCTCTTTCCATTTTTTTCTGTCTTGATTACATAGAGGAGTTTTTATGTAGAGCAGTTCTCAGTGCATCCAATCAGAATTACGAGGAAAACCGGTTCTCTTGACAAGATAGCAAAGACAGAAGGCAGGAAACCAGAAGAGGAAGAAACAAAGGCAGGAGAGTTGAGTTGGATCAGCTTAGAGTAATTTGTACCTCACTTTGTATCAGTCCCACTGTGACTTGCCTGTGCTTCACGTCCTCCTGTGTTCTGCAATGGGAGAGCTGGCCAGCTTGTAGCCAAACCCTGCACAAAAAAAAGAGCCTGTAAATGAGGGTCTTCTGTTCCTGGAGTTGAGAGGTACAAGTGTCTGCACAGCTATATGGCCACATTACATACTGTCATTTCTTCCTGAGGAGCACCAAGAGGGCCCTCAGGGAGAGTGGTGTGACTACTGCCCATGAGATCATCATGCTTTTCTGCCACAAATCATTAGTTTAAAGCATATTGTAAAAGACCTACTTTACTGAGGCATAAAAACACTTGTATGCAAAGAATTAGGGGAAAAAGATACTATTTTTGAATTAAAATTAAGACTCATGCTGATTTATGAGTACCAGACCCTAAGTTTCCTTGGGTGGAAAACTTCAATTCCCCTCTGGTTTGGTCTCTCCTGTAGTTTATAATTTCCAGCTCAGGCTCTAACTCTCTCCCTAGTGGGAAAATAGGGCTCTCATGGCATAGAGAGGGATTTCTGGACAAACTAGTGGAACGGGTATCGTAACTGCCTTGGTAAGAATCCAAGTTCACCTACCCTGGGTTTTAAGCTGGACAAGAATTGATACTTTTATAGACACCACTGTCTTATGGCTGTCTCCTGAAACAGTGTGTGTTTCTAACCAGGAGGAAAAGCAGCAGCAAAGGATCCCATTTTGCTCAGGAATACGCCTTTGTTAAGGCTGCTATCAGGCCTGGCAAAGGTGGCTCCCTAGCAGACAGTCACTGTGCGAGCCAGAGTCCTGGATTTTGAAATTGGCAAAAAGGTATCTTTTTTTCCAAGAAGGTGACTTTCTGCCTATGGGTCTTGCTTTTTCATTTATCAGTAGTAGTCCTTAAAAAAAAAAAAAAAAAAAATAGTAAAAAGAAAGAAAGAAAAACAAACCAACCCCCTGTGCCCCAGGCAGTCATCTGGTGTAAAGCAATATGTGTCAGCAAGTCCTGTATCCTAGTCAGAGTTTTTCCCTCAAATTTGGGCTTTGGCTCTTCTTGGAATCCTCCCCGCAACCCCCCACCCACCTTTTTTTAAAGAATTATTTTATTTATTATCACTATCTTTATTTTGATTTGCTATAGGGCATAAGTGCTCACCACAAAGAAACACAGAGACAGAGAGAGGCAAAGTGAGAAAGCAAGCCTCCAGGTCTGGAAACCGAACTGTGGTTGGCCATGTAGGAGTCCAGAGCCTTAACCACCAAGAAATACCCTGCAGAGCCCATTGAAGTTTGCCTTTCTCTCCTAATGTCTCTGTATTTCAGCCTCACTTCTCAGATCCTTCTGAAGAGGCTCATTTTGGGTGAGAAATCTTAGGCATGGGTTCAAATTGATGAGGGTTTTTCTTTGAGTCTGAGAAGTTACACCATGTCTAGGTGCTCCTGGGGATGGGAAAGGAAGTCAAACTCTATGCACCAGCGTTCCAGGTGCAGTGCATGCTCTTATAGCAATCCTCTGTCCTTTGTCACAATGCACACCTGAAGATCCCAGGGCCCTTTGTAACTGTTAGTCATTTTTAGGAACACAAATTTAATGAAGGGTTGTTGTTTCTATTTATAGAGGTAAACTAAGGGGGAAAGAAAAGTTAGCATCAGAATCAAATCATGACTCAGGTTTTTTTTGTTTTGTTTTGTTTTTGTTTTTGTTTTCTTCTATCTTTAAATCAAACTGTATTCCTCCTGAAATTAAGGTGGCATGGTATAGTGGTTAGAGTGGTAGTCTCCCACATGGCCAGCCACAGAGGCTTGCTCCCTTACATACTCACAACACCGTTTCTCCCTGGTGAATTAAAAAAAATATTAATAAGTAAATAAAATTAAGTAATTCTAAAAAATTAAAAAGTAAGAGTTATAGCCCTTAATGAAAAACATTTACTATGCAATGCTATCCTGTAGTAAATTGTAATTGTTATAAATAGTCACCATAATACGTTTGTAACTCAGTATGTTTAGATTCTTAAAACAAGGCGTGTTGAAAGGTTATATCTAGCTTCCTCTCATGCATATAAATGTAGTGCAAGCTGCTGTTTTAAGGAGCTTTGTGTGGTTAAACTGTTATGGCTTAATAAAAAGTTAAGCATAACTTAGAAGTCATTTAGACCTGTGAGTCACTTTCCTGACAAGCCAATGAGGGAAGAGAACCGGGGTTGCAAAACCATTACTAGCCCAGCCTGAGGGACCCTGGAAATATATTACAGGTATCAGTTAAGAAAACAAAGCTGTGGAGTTTTACCACTCTGCAGAGAGCAAGCTAAGGTTGCTAACACACAGAGTAACTTTACACTGACAATGCCAATTTTTACATTTGTTTCAGAACAAGGGACGGTCAAACCACCAGAGGTAAGATTAAATTTAAAAATTTTTATGTAACATTTTGAATTTTGAGTTGTTCACTAACCCAATCAGGTTTTAGCTTTTACAGTGTTAAGTGTACCTTGTTAAATGAATAGAAAAGAAACAGAAATCGAAGGAGCAGTCAAATGTTTGTGAGTGAAATGCACAAGTTAAGTCAAAGGAATTTTCGCAGCTACTGTCTTAAGTAAGATCATAGGTAGAAGAGAAATGTGCATATTTAACCTAAGACTGAGTCCAGTGGGACACTTTTACAGAGGAAAGTGTGGTCCCCATCCCAGAAAGTTGGTAAGTGCATCCCCTCTTGTGACGTGTGTTGTATGGCTGTCCAACATTTGCCCATACTGGACAATTTAGAAAATTCTTACATGGCTCAGGTTAAGAAATGGTTTCATGTTTCAAGTTTCTCATTTGTGCACAAACATGATTATTGTCATGCTATTGATCAAATAAAGATCTGATTACATTTCCTTTGCTTTAACAGGGTCTTACCCCTGATAGCTCAGAAGTATATGATCCCTGTTGCCTCTCAGAATAGAGGCATGAAAACATGCAAAAGAATGAATTCCTAGGCTTTCAACTAAATTTCTCACACCATTCTCCAAAATTACTATAGCCAAAACATTTTTTAAAAAAGCCATAGCAGAGAGAATTAAAATTTGATATGTGTGCTATGAGATATGTGAACCAAAATATAGTAGTCTGAGAATTTCAGAATCGAAGAGTGACAGAAAATTATTATCAACCAAATCATTTTAGCATGTAACAATGATATATCTCTTTAAAAGTATCCCAATATTAGTATGCTTTTAATAAGCTATCATTTATATAGTCGGTACAATAATGAAAAATACAGCATGATGTCATAGGAGAGGCTTGTGTTTATATTTTTTTACACAACTAATTTGTATATATAGGATATTAAAAGGGTAATAGGAAGAAGCTCCTATGTAACTATACAGTGTATTAGTTGTCTATATGTTAGAATCTAGACTCAAGGAATGTAAAGCAAGATAATAATATATTTTTAAAAAAATAAGTTGCACAAGTTATTTTAGTGCTAAGATAAATTAACCTGAAAGTTTTTTCTTTCAGTGTTTTGTGGAGAGGTAAGATTTTTCATGAGGATTATCAGGATTTTTCTGCAATGTGGTTGGTTTTGCAAAGCAACCATTGTTTATTTACTCTGTCACCCTATTACTAGTTTATTGAGGTGGCTACCTTGCTGGGTGCTGACCTTTAACTCAGTGTTACTTAACATTTATCCTATTAGATATATGTATTATTTCTTCCAAGGACAATGGCTTTGTTTATTTAATTAAGTTATCTGAAGTGGGTGTATTTATAGAAGGAAAGTGTACTAATAAAGGAGGGTTAATAATTTTCACATGGTATTATGTAATTCTCATAGTCACTTTTATACTTTTAAAAATTACATGTAAGCCTATAATGAAAGAAATTAATTTTCACGTTGATTTTGTTTTGAAAAAGGTAGCATCAGTTCTTTAATGACTTGCTTCACTTTTGAGTGCAAGTGTAATTTTTATTCAATGTGTGATTATGCTAATGATCTTACTTGGGATGGAAAATGCTAGTAAACTCTTATACTGACCAATCCATTTGGAAACTTTAGTTTGGTCAAAAGAGTAACAAGCTTCTTTCACCCCATTCCAGGTGTGCTTACGTTCCAAGACTGATGCTGATAGAATGCTCAGGAATCTTCCACAAGTAAATCATGAAGGCGCCCTTTTTTTTTTTTTAATATTTCAGGATTTTTAAAAAATTTACATTTAATCACATATATTTACAGTGTACAACATTTCTTTTTCTAGCACGAATACCATGTAAATCAGTCAAGACAAAGACATTTCTATATTCATTATCATCAGGAAATAACTTTTCATGTTTCGTAAGCTTTGTGATTTTTATTTTTTTCTCCTCTCTTGAGAATCTTCTTTCTCCCCATGTACCAGTTTATAGTCTTCTGTTTCTCTGTAGCCATCATTGTTAATGTTATAGCTTAAATTTCACATTTCATTTTCAATGTAGGTTAATTTTCAGCAGCCACAGGATCAGCAGGCTGCTTTAAGTCAGTTTCCTCACACAGGTTAAAACAGGTAGAAGAACCAAAACCAGCTTTCATATAGCAAATAAAACTGCTTGTGTGGTTGGTAAAATCAGCAGAGAGAATTAGTTTTTTGTTTTTTGTTTTTTCCCAAAAGAGGCAAGAAGAGAGAGGGAGTCTGAAGGGGTAAAAGCCATTTTTTCTTTTTCTTTTTTTTTTAGAGCCAGACAAGGCAAACGGTAATGAAGTGAGAAACAGCTACCAGTGCTTATGAAATTAGATTTGGTTTTCCCTTTCCTTCTAGGTAAATCACAGGAGATTGAGAAGGCTTTGGAGACTAAATCTTACGGTCCTGTGAGCTGTAACTGGGAGCTGGCCAGGCAACTCCTGCCTGTGCCTTCTCTCCTCCTTTCTGGTGGAAACAAAGGCTCTCCAGCTCTGTCCTAGACTTTGGAGGATATAGGTTGGGAAGGGGAGTGTGTAGGACAGGGGTAACTGAATGACAGTTGTAATTTGCATTTTAAATGGCCCAAAATATGTTCTGCTTAACATTTCTGTGGTTTTTTTTTTTTTTTTTCTTTTTTTGGAGAGGTCTTTTTTGCTTTAGGGCATGTGTGTTTGCCAGAAAGACAGAGAGACAGAAAGCGAGAAATCACTTCCTGGAGGAATGGCCATGCCGCAATCCCTTCTACTCCATTATCCTCTTGGGATCTTGGTCACGCACGCACACACGCCTGGCGTGAGTTTAAGCCACTGGGTTCGTGACTCGAACCACAGTCGACTACATGGGAGTCCAGCAGCATAGCCATCATGCTAACTGCTAGTCCCAACATTTCTATATTTTTACATAAAATACTTTTTAGATTCTTCCTTAGTATAATAAACTTAAAATTTTCCAAATGCACTTAATCTAAGTTGCTAAAAATCACTCCCCACCTCTTTTTTTTTTTTTTTTTTTTGGTTTCTTAATTATACCAGACCATGGTTTGATTCACTGCCCACCTTTCCTGTGGGATTTCTGTTTTCAGGGTGATTCCCTTTCAATTACTTTTCAGGAGGAAGAACCTAAGACATAAGTAGTAAGGCACTAACTCAGTAGAAGAATTTCTCCTTTGTGGGATTTCAAACATTTCAAAGTAGCAGTTAACATAAATTAACTTTTAATTTTCACCATAAACCCTATGAAGTAGGTGCTATTATTATCTTTATTTTATAGATGAGAAAACTGAAGCATCTCTTTTATAGATGAGAAAACTGAAGCATAGAGATGCAAATTCATTTGTTCACAATCAAACAATTGCCAAGTACCAGGGTCTGATTGTGCATTTAGATAGTCTTATTTTTGAATTTATACTCTCTTTTTTGGTGAAGAATTATTAATTTAATTTATTATTATTATTTTTTTAATTTGCTAAGGGCACATGTGCTCATGAGAGACAGAGACAGAGACAGAGAGTTGAAAGCCAGAAAGCAAGCCACCAAGTCTGGGACTCGAACCACGGTCGGCCACATATGAGCCCAACCTCTAACCACTTTGCTACCTGTTGGCCCCAAACTTATACTCTTAATAATTGTACTCGGTTGTCTATTTTAATCCTAAATTTAGGGTAATACAGAGTTGCTCTTGAAATCAGGTTTTCTTTTCCATTTATTTCTTTTTTTTAAGATTTTTGCCTTAGGGCATGTGCACTTACTGGAGAACAACAGAGAGAGACAGTGAAAGGGAAAGTGAGAAATCACCTCCCAGGAGGGATGACCTCACTGTAATCCCTTCTTCTCCATTCTCTTCCTGAGATTTTGGGCACACATGCACACTGCCTGGCAGGATTTTTAAGTCACCAGGTCCAGGACTTGAAGTGCAGCCACATGTGGGAAGCCAGTACCTTAACCACCATGATGCCTGCTGGCCCCTCTTTTTCCTATTTTATGTTTATAGTTTCTAAAGAATATTCTTTTAGGTTTTCTAAGAATCAGATAAAACAATGAATTCCTTTCTTGAGTTCTAAGCCCTTTGAGAGAAGGTACAGTATCAATAGAAAGACAGCTGTGATTGTACAGAAGAAGGTGGTGGGGCTATGCAGGAAGTAAATAGCAACTAGATACCTAGCATGTATTTTCCTGTTGAAAACACTGTCAGCTGTGCTGTTCAATGCCTTTTATTTTGAGAGCTCAAAAAAATTATAAAATTTCAGGTAGAAAAGAGTTTTTCTTTGGAAGCAGTTTTCTTTCATATTATCAGATATAAATCTGTAGCTCATCACACTTTCCGTTTTAGTGCCTTGCCTACCAAGAAGCTCAGAGCCACGTTTCCCTCTCATTCATAGCAACGCTCTTTGTCATAGTTTGCCTAGTACTGCTATCCATCTTGCTCAGCATAGCTTTAATGCTGATTTGAATGATCCTAGTAGTCATTTGCAAATCTGTTTTGGAAATAAGTGGAGTGAAAACAAAAATTATGTTTAAAAAATTTCTCCAATTGGTTTTCACCTGAGAGTGGTAAAAAGCCTGCTGATACAGCTTTGAGACACTTGGGAAGGTTGAAAGACCCTATTTCAACCATTTAATGTATGAATAAGAACAGAAGGAACCCTGAGAAAAATGCATGGCTAATGTGTGCTTGGTAAAGCCAAGCGTGCTCTGAATAAAACCAAGGCTCTGCACACAAGCACGAACCCCACAAACATGAAAAGAAAATTGCTTTTGTGAAATTCTAAATTATATGGTAGTCATAGATTCAGCATTTCATCCAGTTGTATTATAAAAAGTGAAAATCAAGGCCTTCCTAATTAGTGAGATTACCATAGTTATTAGGTGAGAATGAATTTAATGCTTGTGAAATCAAATGTGTAATAATGCATTTTCAGAGTTAAAATCTCTTGTTTTGCCTCTCATCTGTAAGTTTTGCAATATGCAGCTTGTCTTATATTGATTTCTTCTCTACGGTGCAGATTTATGGTTCATGAACTACATGTCTGTGTTTTTTTAAAAAGTATTCGGATATAACTGATCTCTAATTAAAACACCATTCCCATTTAATTTATCTTGGTAAGAAAAAATTTCCAACCATAAATGGCTGCTTGGAATTTATTCTACTTCACTTAGTCACTATGACTTAAAAAAAAAAATGAGTCATACTATCTATAGTTGGCCAACAGGATTTCATTTTCTTAGTGTTGTCAGATATATCAAATGTAGTGTTCAAATGTAAAAAAAACCAAAAGATTAAATTATAAAAACAAAAATTTACTTTGATCAAATGTACTCATGTTTTTAATTATGTTCAGTGCAATATTCATTGGCCTTCCAAAATAGCAGAAGTAATATGACTTGATAATGTAGAGTCACCAATACATCTTTGTTTTCCCTTTCTGCACAGAAACGGACCAATGGACTTCGGAGAACTTCCAGACAAATGGATCCAGGTGTGTTTCTGATTACTCAGCCTACAATAATCATTTCAGTTAAGAGATTATGGAAGTATATACGAGTTGCTCTGGAAAGTTAGGCATATTGTTGGCCTTTGGTCCTTGAGGTTTCATATATAATGTTGTGACCAGGAGGTGAAGGTCTGAAATGTAAATCATTCACATGAAGAGTAGCTATGCTTGGTAGTCTTTTCACAGGCAGCAGCTGAGTTGGTTATTTGCTTACTGAACAGCCTCAGGGCCTCTGGTTAATGCTAACTATCCAGTACCCTCCCCCTTTCCTTTATGAATCTGCTAAAGAAATAAACCAACAAGCTGCATTTAAAAATTAGCTGTCTTCTGCGAGAGTACGGGAACCAGGCAATTGGTACTCTCCCCATCTGGGGAAATGTCTTCCTTTTATATCTATTACTATTTTATAATAGAAGCATGGTTTTAAGGACTTTTTGAACAAATGTCCTCTCTGGAGACCAATAATTTGTCTGCCGAAAACATTCAGTTTTCTGTTTAACATTATGAGGCTTACCCTCTCGTGATATCAGCGTAATTTCTTTGATCCATTAAGCAATGCTTTCCACAGTTTTTTTACCAATGATTTTATCGTAGGGTGGGCATACGATCCTATTGTTGTGGGTAAAAGGTATTAGTAGTCAGCTAAGGGATTCCAAATATATGACCTTGAGAATAAATCAAGTGGAACGTGAAATATTGAGTCGCCTTGTTGGCAAATAATGCGGCTTATGTGTTTTCTTTTCTTTTTTTTTTTTCATCATAAGCAGTGTTGAGTTAGTTGTAAAGTTTAGTTTTCAAAGCACTATAGCTTTGAACTGAAGCCACACCCATGGCAGCGGTGCCAGTTTATGAGCAATTTGAGGTTTATAGGAGCTGTGTTGCCTCTGGCGAGAAATTGCTTCACCTCTGTCCTAACAGTTGAAATCTTTTAACTACAGAACAAAATTGGAGCTATTAAAAAAACTAAAGGCTTTGGTTTACTTTTACTTCTTCTTGTTTATTTATATATTTTTAATTTGCTATAGGGCACGTGTGCTTGATGGAGAGACACAGAGAGAGAGAGAAACAGAGAAGAGAGAGAAAAAGTGAGAAAGCCTCCCTCCCCAGTGGGGATGGCCATGCCTTGGTCCCTTCTCTTCCATTGCCCTCTTGGGGTTTTGGGCATATACACATGTATTTTATGTGTTTTTCAGGCTGCCGGGTCTAAGACTTGAACCACATAGTTGGCCATGTGTAATCCAGCCACCTTAACTTCAGTGCCATCTGGTTGAACTTTGTTTCCTTTTAAATAGTTCTAAAACACTGCACTTTTAAACACTGCACTTTTTAAAAAGTTCTCAAAACACTGCACTTTGCAAAGGACACTGCAATAATGTTTAGAAGAAGCTTCCTCCATTTACTAGGAACATAGGACTATGAACTTAATTTTTTTTTCCTTATTTCATGTGCGTTGTAGTATTTCTATTTTATAAAATCATCTAACCTGTATAGATTTCATTTATTATTTTCAGTTGTGCTCACAGAGTTAGAGTGACAGAGTGAGAAGGAGAAAACACCCATCAATAGGACATGGTCACATCACAGTCCCTTCTGAGATTTCATTTGTATGTCCTGTCAGGATTTGGGGCACCCATACATGTATCTGGCATGTTTTTTAAACCACCAGGGCTGAGATTCAAACCATGGTCAGCCATGTGGGACCTGACTCCCTTAACCCACAGGACTATGGGGTCAGCCCTAAATTTTATTTTTAAGACATACTTATTTTTATTTTTTAGACATACTTATTTAGTCCCTTTATCTCAGGAAATTCATTTCTTTCTTATAGTTAGTAGGAGTACATTTTATTCTTTTAAAAAGTAATTTGCTGAGAGAGAGAGAAGCGCCCTCAACAGGGTCTCAGCATGCCCTGAGTACCTTTTCCCTGGTCCTCTAGATTGTCAGGATCTTGAACACCAGCTCACTCACTTGGAATGTTTTTGAGCTGACATGGAGATACAAACCCACAGCAGGTCATGTGTCTTCTAGCACCACAGCTGTTTGCTATCGACTATGCGTCCAATCTGCATCACTGACTCTTAACAATTTACTTTATAGTCAAAGTGTTCTAGGATCCCTTAGATTACCTAGAGGAAAGTAGGGTGAATTCACTGATTATGAACTTGGTAAAGTAGAACAATAGTACAATTACTAATAATTTATATACCTTTATCCTAAAAGTAATGACTTCATGTATGTACATCTCTTCAAGTGTTTCTGTTTGTCCAAAGATTTTAGAACCTCACAAAGAATAATTTTACAAATATAAGACAAGTGCTGCTATATGCTATATTTCTAAGAATATATGTGATAATTTTCTACTGAGTAGAAAAATACGTGAATATATTTCTCATTTTCCCACATTTTTTAAGACATATATTGTCAGCCCTCCATATCTAAGTGTTCCACACCTGTAGGATGGGATCTGCTTTTGTGGATTCTACTAACTGGGAATTGAAAATATTTGGACAAAAATGGTTATGTTTCTACTGAATGTATATAGACTTCTTTATCTTGTCTTTATTCCCTAAACAATAGAGTACAACAACCATTTATGTAGCATTTGCATAGTATTAGATATTACATGTCATCCAGAGATCATTTTATGTGTACAGGAGGATATACGTACGTTATATGCCAATACTATGTCATTTTATAGGGGACTTGAGCATTTTCAGATTTTCATATTTGAAGGGGAATCCTGACCCTATCTCCTGAAGATAACAGGGACAGCTGTAGTTGATCTTGCCTGTTGAAGCTGCTAATGTGATAACACCCATTTCTCCCTGTAGCTCTCTTTGACCTAGGCTTGAGTTATGTATTTAGGGCTCTTTGACTATTTGCATCTCTGCCTCTTTCTGCTGGCAGGTTACAAAGTTTCTTTGTTCAAAGTTAACCCTTACTTGTTGACTATCTTGCATTAATCTTTTCTTTTTCTTTTTTTTTTTAAAGAGGTTTTTGCTATAGGGCACATGCACTCACCAGACAGAGAGAGAGACAGAGAGACAGAAAGCGAGAAATCACTCCCCAGGGGGTTTGCCACGCCGCAATCCCTTCTCCTCTGTTCTCCTCTCAGGATCCTGGGCATGCATGCACACACACCCTGTGTAAGTTTTAAGCCACTGGGTCTGGGATGCGAACCGCGGTCGCCTATGTGGGAGTCCAGCCACATAGCCATTATGCTAACTGCTGGTCCCTCTTGCATTAATCTTGAAGTGGCTATTTAGCAGGTTTTTGTAGGTGTGTAGGAGAGTTTCATCTAAGAAACCAGTTCGTGTGAACAAAGAACTGGTAAAATAGAGGTTGTTAGGACTAACTGTTTCCAAAGGTCTTTATCTGCTGTTAGTGCTTTCACTATGGAAGTTATTTTTATTTTCTTTTCTTCTATATAGCTACTTAGTTGACATATCCAACTGGGAATTCACTGATGGTTGTCTAGAGCCTCTCATGGTGGCTTATAGAAAACACACACACACACGCACACACACACACACACACACACGTATACAAAGGTCAATTTTATATCTTCCCAATAGACCATTGGTTGGAAAGAGACTTAATATCCATAGTCCTGTGAGTTGCATGTACTTAACAAATGCTTATTTTATGAGTTAATGAATAGCTATATACTTTTTCTGTATGCATTATCTCTCTTACTTTTTAATTTTTCCTGCTAGAGCCAGACAAAGTGGTGCTTGCCTGTAGTCCCAGTTGGGAGGCTAAGGTGGGATGATTAGGAGAGTGAGACCATGTCTAAAATAAAATTGCTCCTGTTGATATAATGGTAGAACCAGACAGTCTAGTGGTGGGAAACATGGCTCTGAGCCATGTTGCCTGCACTTGGAACTAGACTTAACTATTGTATTTACTTGCTATTTGACCTTTGGCTATTTACTCTCTCTCTCTGCTATAGTTTCCTTATTTGTAAAAGGAGATTAATATCAGTACCCATCTTACAAAGTTGTTATGAGCATTGCAGGAGTTAATATACATAAAGTACTTTAAAAAGTGCCCACTATATAGTAAGTGCTAACTAGTGGCAATTATCGGGTTGCTGGGACAGTCAAGATGCATTTTTGCATAGAAAAATAGAAAACTATGTCATTACTTTCCTGACAACCTAATATTATACCAATTTGTTTGTGTTAGAGCATGATATTTGGTATTGGACATTTTGCTATGTGAAGGAGAATCAATATTTGTCACTTATTCCTTTGCAAACAAATCCTATATTTTATGTCGAGTTTTCCTTGAAGCAAAAAATTATATAATTGTATCCTTTTCAAATTTGTTGTCTTCCTTGTTTATCTAATATCTTTCATGATCCTTTGCTTTCTTTACCAATAGATATAATCAGTAGTGATGACTGAGAGTTTTTTGGTGAAATTATTTATTATTACAATAAAAACTCAAAGAAAGAAAACCTCTCAAGGTTGAAAAAAATGTGTATTTTAGGGAAGAGGGTTCTATTCAAACCTAAGAGAGATGTGACCTGTAGACTTGTTACCACATTCAGTCATTATTAATAGTTTCTGTTAATCCTATAGAGAATATTTACAAATGGCTTTGCTCTTTATATTTTCTTGCCTTCTATTGTGTGCTCAGAGATTTAACAACTTGTAGTCTTGACTGTTTTTAGTAATGAGTTACACGCAGATTCTGGTAGCACTTTTGGCTCTCTTAAATATAGCAGTGTATTTTCATCAGTTTGTACTTTTCTTCCTGAGACAGATGTTGGTATCAGGAAAAGAACACTTGTAACAGACAGATCAATTATTTCAGGAACACAGAGGTGCTAGGCCTTTTTCAAAAACATGAGATCATAAATCTCAAGAAAATCTCAACACTTGTATAATATTTTTCACCTAAAGTGGCACTCAAGGTCAAAGTTACCAATTAATTTAAATACTGAGCTTTTCAAGTTTCCTTGTATGTATAGGAGATAA